ACTTGGACTCTGATGATATGTGCGTCTACTTTTGGTTCAACCTTGTATTTCTCTGTTGCTCTGAAAGTGAATCCCGAACTTGGGGCAGTCTACCAGATTTATAACCGATAGCACCTTACTTCAACTCTCCAGTTTTAATGAACTTATGTCTGTGCATCACCTTCAATTTCTGCTACACATCTGTTGATGAGAAAAGGATCAGAAACCTTTTCCTTTCTATTCATTTTATTACTTTTCTACCTCTCCAGGCATCCCTAGCAGGCTCTCTGCCCTTGTCCCACACTCCCCGGCACACTTGATACTGCTGAGTACCAGAAAAGTGCAGAGAGGGAAAGAGAGACTCCCTGTGGGAAAATGGACCCAGGGGAACACAAGCCACACCTTTAGGCAGGAGCCAAGTCCAGCAGGCAAGAGGCTGATGTAAGGTAGGAGAAAGAAAGGGAAAGCTCATCTCTAATGAATCAGAGCAGAGGGGCTAGATCCAGTGTTCTGCATCATGAGGGAAGAGGCCATAACTGTCCAGAACCCTTGGACTGGAGCCTAGGACTAAGTTGAAAAGGCAGTGGTCAAGGGAAGAGGGCACTAAAGTAGTGCATGTATGTTCAGCCCATGTTTGATGCCGATACCATCACTAACCCCATAGAAACCAAGAGTCTTGGGAGAGCAAGGCAAGGTTTTTTTAACTCTTGAGAGCAGAGGATGTGTGGGCGCTTTCGGGGGGGCAGGCAAGGCGAGGGCCACAAACTATCACCTGGGGGGCGCAAATGGCCCCCGGGCCGCATATTTGAGACCCCTGGGCTAGATCCAGTGTTTTGCATCATGAGGGAAGAGGCCATAACTGTCCAGAACCCTTGGACTGGAGCCTAGGACTAAGTTGAAAAGGCAGTGGTCAAGGGAAGAGGGCACAGTATGTTCAGCCCACGTTTGATGCCAATACCATCACTAACCCCATAGAAACCAAGATGGCCAGCAGGGCACTCAAGGAATGCTGGAGGAAGATGCGCTAGGAGCTCCTTGGGGGGACCTGGCACTGTTCAGTGGATGTCACTATGAGCCCATCCCGAAGGGAGGTGTGTGGCTCACAGCTGTGTGGAAGACCCAGCTCTAATCTTGGGCAGCCTGCAGTCAGTGAGCGGAACCAGCATTCAAAGACTGGACTTGGCAAGACAGCTAGTGAAGCCAACTGGCAGGACAGGGTGCATCTGGTGCTTAGCCCTTTCTTGCACCCCACGTCCTGATATTAACAAAATTCAGCACCAGAAACTCTGGGAATCTCAACTTTATGGACATCAAAGCTGAAGAGAGCCTCCTGGGCAGAGGTGGCAGCGCTCACTGGGACCGGTTTTATGTACTTGGCAGGAAAGATCGAAGCAATCCGCAGGCGTTGTGAGAACAGCCCGCTCTGCCTCATTTCTGAAGAGCCACTGCTCGCCTGAACCTCTTTTCCAAAGGAGTGGCGCTCCAACGGGAGACAGGCGTAACCAGGGCAATGGCGCGCTGCAGGAGGAAGCCTCCAGGGTCCACACCATCTGAGCAGCCGCAGATCTCGCACCCCAAAATGTTCGACGCCTTGGCTGCTGGTTGGCGGCGCACCCGAGGCTACAAAAGACGTACAGAAAACACCGGTGGGGAGACAAAGCTCCACCAGCCCGCCGGCCACCTTTCACTCGCACATGCGCAGTGCCCGGACCTCAATAGGAACGCCGCCTTCGAAGCAAGCGACAGGGAGGCTGACAACCGCGCATGCGCGCCTGATGTCACCCCGGCTTCTGCGCGCGCATTGTTCACACACACACACACACACACACACACACACACACACACACACGTGGGGGGGGTGGAAAGAAAGAAGAAATTCATTGTCGTGGAAGAGGAAAGAAACGAAGAAAACCTGAGAGGAAAAAGAGAGACGGATGCCGGGAAGGAGCCCTTTCAGTGAGGTCATCACTAAGCGTCCCCTCTCTCTTCGGTACCACTCCCATTCTTCCCCCCCCCACAAGCGCTTTTCTCCTTCCCCGCCGCTGCTCCTGGGGTGCTGCTTTGGTCCTTCGTCGCTTGCCTTTGTCGTCATCAACCTCGTCGTCGCCGTTGACTGCCGTCATCACTGGGCTCTTTCTCGCCC